CTGATGACAAAGCCTAAATAATGGTCGTCCTTACGTGAACTGTTTTCCGTGTGCAATTGCCCTTTGTCTTATCTGGCCATAATGCCATCTGTACGATTACGCTTGGGCGTACGTGAGGCAGAAACCAAACATGTACGCAAGTAAATGATCTAGGAGAAAACTGAGGGAGAGAAGATGAAATGGCAGAGAAGGAAAGAGGCAATCAGATAGGAATCAAAGACAAAGAGAGAAAGTCCAAAGAGAGCATGTGATCAGACCGTTTCTCTCCCACGGCGTGTTGTCTGAGGGCGCCACTTGCAGGTTTTACTTCTTTATTCTGTTGTTTCTGTCTGCCTGTCTTACTTTTTCTCAGCACTAAATAACCTTTATTGATTCGATGTGCATCTCTTTACTCAAACAAACCAACGGCTACAAACTAGTCGTAAACAAATGCACGAACAGCTTGTATTTCAAGTCATAAGGGTGGGTGTTTGGCGGGTGTTTTGGAGGGGTTTGTTCCTTCTTTTTTTTATCAAACATCTTTTGTTCTTTTCTCTCCTTCTTCTTCTATTGTGTTTGTCACTCTGTTGTAACACCGCTTATCTTCTGCATTTATACAACCTAATGTGTTGAAAGTGCTGTAGAATGCTTACCAAAGAAAAAAAAGTGATAATGTAGACATCAATCATAAGTGCAGACAATGATAAACAAGAAAATGTTGATTTGATCTGTTAAAGTATATATGCCGAAGTTGCGAGGTATCACATAGATATCAAATCGATAGGGCGGTGGTTCGTGAATAAGTTTATTCAAAACTGACTTGTCTCCGCCCGATGTGTTGTTGCCTGGCCCGGCGACATGCAGATGCTGTCAATACAGGACCCGGAAAAGTCCAACAGTATGGATATACATTACGGATGCTGGGCAGAAATTGTTACTTGCCTTCAGCTATTTCGCACCCGTACGGCTCGTTCACACCAAAAATCCGCGTTCGTGTGGTATCGTGTGGGAGACGGACGAAAGAATTTATTATTTATCTGGGCCCTTTCTGTCTATTCATAGCACCAAACCATCAATGAACCATGAACCCTAATTCAGATTTATAGACCTAGCTCACTAACACTGAGTTGAAGCTATAGGCCTATATAGGTACAACTCTGACTCGATTCACTGAGTTGCGAGTAGGCCTGCTCGCACCCATCGCACCAGATATTGTAACAACTCTGAATCGAGACACTGAGTTGCGAGCAGGCCCATCGCCCTAAATACAGTAACAACTCTAAATCGATTCACTGAGTTGCGAGCTGGCAAGTGGGTTGCACTGAGGTGAATCTCTGGTCTTGCCGATCGCTGCTCGCGGACAGGCTTTTCACTTCCAAATCTACTGCTGCTCATAGAAAGGCTGACTGTATTTTGTCTTGGCATCATAAACTGCCGTCGGCTCATTACATTTTAACAATTAAGATCCAGCTTCGTAGTAGAGATTCTTTGTTGCAACTCTGAATCACTGAATCGCACTGAGTTGCTCAAGTGAGTTGAGAGTTGATTTCCGAAAGTGGGAGTTGCGAGTAGTGAACGGAAACGATAACGGGATCAAGCTCAAGTTCCCACAAATTGTTCGTGTTCATGCGGTAGTGACAGTTGTCGTTCGTGCGTGTGGTGAGCAAGTTTTATGGCAGCCAAAAAATAAACACGCACGATAACCTACGAATAGACGGATGATAGGTGTGAATGGGCACACGTTCATGCGTTAGACGAATGCATGATATAACACGAACGCAGATGTTTGGTGTGTACAAGCCGTTAGAATGACAGTAGGGCCCTATCTACGTCCATGGCGCATAGTTTTGAGACAATTGGATTCAAAGATTATACAGTTAAAATGTGTTTACACTCTATTTTTTAAGTGCCAAACTGAAAAATACGTGTCAGATTATCTCGAGCCTTTTGCACAGTGTACGGGCTATCTGTGTCAGTAGTGTATAACTCGGTTCTCGAAAAAAGTGGACTTTGAACGTTTTTGTTTTAAGGGTGCGATTAAACAACTACCACAACAATCTGTTATTCTTTCAGTCTATGCAATGCCTTGTTGTTATTCCCTGTGTAGTGTCTGAAAGAAACTGCTTCAAAATAATAATCACAGAATGTTGCAATGAATGAATTTATATTTGAATTGTTCTTCTAAAAAAATATTGTCGAAGAAACACTTTAAAATAGCCAGAAGTTATTTTTACTCTGAAGAGGGAGACAGAAATAGTAAATCTACTGAGGTAATAATTTGGACAAGGAACACAACTGAATAGAGCCATTTGCCCCGTGTCTGTTTGATATGTACCTCTATGAGTCAAGTCTCTAACTCATAATTACAACGTTTTATCTTATATTTTTAGCCGTTTTGAGTTACTTAGACCATGACGTTAGAAAGAAAATGGTCTATCAGCTCTATCAAAATCATAACACTATTCGGAGTCGATATCAAGGTGATCAAATAAATGTATTCGAAAAAAGCTTGTCATGATGTGAAACTCAGAATCTTTTACGTCAAATTTCTCAAATTTATGTACTGAGCAGATAGATCTTTGTAATTTTGAGGTCGCGAAGAGTCGGGCAGGTCGATGGCACATTGGCCGAGGCAGAAGGTAGCGAACTGTTATAGACAATAGCGCCTTGATTAATCGCTCGTGGAGGTACAGTTACGACAGACTAGTCGTGACCGAGATAGTATGTGTCACATCGTGGTGGAATCAGGCGCTCGTGAAAATAATGAAGTCGAAGAAATGGATATTTTTTCCATCCAATGGTCAATTTTTATCGAATTTTTATTTTTGGCTCAACACCTTTAATACATAAATATGCTTTTCTTTTTAAATACCGAAAAACGTTGATTAAAGGCACAAAAACTGTAAATTTGCAATTTCCAGAGACACTCAAGCTTTGGAAATCACCAAATTTTGGCGGCCTTTTCATTTTCTCGCCAAGTTTACCTCAGACACCTGACGACCCCCACCTCTTTTAGTTGTAAACACCTCCGCTTCTACTTAAGATAGACGGCTACTTTTTTTCATTTAACGCAAAGCAAATGAACAGACTTTAAGATGATACCAATGACTCTACGTCCCCAAAAATTGACGAGCGCCTGATTCCCCCGCGTCGTGAACGAGATATTTCAATTCAGTACAAGGCTCCAGCTGGTACACGAGGGTGTTGTTGGATATTTGTAGACCTCTGAAAACATTGTTGTAGCATTCTGGCTTCCATAAAGGGTGACCTGTAGATCTAGAGAGAAGGAATACATACAACTGCCTAGGAAAATATAATTACCTTTTTTCGTACCGTAAAATGTGTCGACATCTCTCCACACCCATGGGGTTTTTTTTTCTTCTGTTATCTATTTGTGGTGGTTTCATCGATCGACATGCGGTTTTCGTCAAAAGATTCTTTAAAACATTCTCCAGATCATGACGCCCTTCGTTTTTTTCTGTTTTGAGACAGTTTAGCTGCAAAAAGCTTTTGTAGGCCAACGCTTCTGTCTCTGTAATTTTAGAATATCCGCCTGGTTTATTTATTTCAAGTCGTACTTCCGTTCGTTACTATCGCGCATTGTCGCGCAATACTGAGCACTAAAGTGTGCGACCCATATAGATCTAGCCTCATGTTTTCTTTTTTTAGTTGCTGCTAAATTCGACTGAGATCCTTTTGTTTCATGCCCATCATCACTTTTTCAGGACTCCTTTGTCTATTATATATTTGGCAACTTGGAAACACGTGTGTCACTTTTCTCTCGAGATTTATTGCTCCATTCCAGTAGTGTGTAGTAGGCCAATGACTTTCAGTTGATGTTAATGCACCGATCATTCCTTTCTTCGAAAGGGGGCCCAGTTAGATTCATAAAATTATGCAGGTGTCTAGAATTCAGCGCACTAGCAAAATGTATCTTTATCGAAACGGAAAAGTCACAGTGCTGAATTTGAAAGGATGTAAATCAAAAACTTACCACGCTTTTCTCACATTGAACGTCGCCTACTGAAAGGTGTTAGATAACTTAGCACTCTTCTTTTTGCAGGTCGCCGCAATTATTGTTTACGAACCGTGCGGGAGTATAGAGAGCAGTAATTATTTTTTAAGCTGTGTGTTCGTTGAAGTATTTTCTGTTCCCCATTGAGTTGTTTTTTTCTGACCCTGCCGTATTTTTTACAAACTTCCATACGTCGTGTCATCATAAACCTGAAGCAAATCCATTGACAGGACGCAGTTATTCTCCACCTTGAATGGGTGATTGGCTGGTGCTCCTTCTTTTCTTTCAAACATCTATCGTCCTTATCTCTCCTCCTCCTCCTCCTCCTCCTCCTGTTCCTTTTTTTGGTTGTTACTCTCTTGCAACAACTTTAATCTTCGGCACCTATATTAATATGTCCTAATTGTGTTGCAAGTGCCGTAAAACGCTTATTAAAACACAAACAAAGTGAAACAATCCTCCACCCATAAAGTATCAGTTTAACGTTCACTTAAGTCACCCACTTCTAACAGAAGGTATCATTTCACCATCCATGTGTGTATCAGTTTAACATCCATGAGTATCACCCATTTCTAACAGATTGTATTGTCAGTTCACCATCCATGTGCGTTACCCGCTTCTAACAGAAAGGTATCAGGGTAGCGTCCATGAGTATCATCCACTTTTAACTGAAGGTATCAATTCAACATCTATGTGCGTCACCCACTTCTAACAGATGGTGTCAGTTTAACATCCATGTGTATCACTCACTTCTAATAGAATTTATTGTCAGTTCACTATCCATGTGTGTCACCCACTTCTAACAGAAGGTATCAGGGTAGCGTCTATGTGTATCACCCACTTTTAGATCTAACTGAAGGTATCGATTCAACACCCCTGTGCGTCACCCGCTTCTAACAGAAAGGTATCAGGTTAACATTTATGTTTTCAATTCAGCATCCATGTGCGTCACCCTCTTCTAACAGAAGGTATCAGTTTAACGTCCATGTCTGTGTATCACCCTCAGGATTCCGCCATGCCAAACAACAGCAACAACATGAGCCACAGCTTCAACTACAGCCACTGCAAGTATTACTTGGAGCAGGGCTCGACCGTACAGTGCTATGTCTCGGACCAGGTACGTACTTATGACTACCCCTCTCCCAAATAAGAAGATGAATAAAGAAGCTCAGAAATGCATGAATGGAAGAATGAATGAAGGATGGAATGAATGAATGAATGAATTAATTAATTAATGATGGAAGGAAGGAATGAAGAAATGAAAGAATGAATGAATGAATTAATTAATTAATTAATGTTAATTAACTAATTAATAGACTTTTAAAACAGTACATACGTTGCTTTTAAAGAACTGTACGGACATACCTAAAACAACAAGAAGAAAACAACCAAGATTAATCATATTTTCTTTGCTTTCTTTAAATAGTACTCTTTCATCTTGATTTAGTCCTACAAGCGTCTATAATAAGTCTTTTGTTAGTTCCCCCCCCCCCCCCTTCGGAAGCAAAAGATGTGGGCTCGAATCCTGCATAAATGTGAAGCCTTTTTTTTTTTTTCAAATATTATAGTTTGTCTGCTCAGATGTTTTATCAGACTCTGTCCGAGTTGGCACTAATACGGGGTGCCCATTGGCCCAATCGGTTCGATTCGGTTCAATTCGGTTCGATTCGGTTTGCTAGCAGGATTGAGGGCAAACCGATCGCCCAACTCGTTGCCTCAAAAACAAACGCGTTTATTTTTCAAACGACGAGTCGGACGATCGGTTGTCGATCGGTTTGCCGATCCACCTATGGGCATCCCGTTTTACTCGAGCTCCAGATTTTTCTAGCTTCCTGATTATCCCAGGATCTGCTTATCTCTTGTTCTCGCTCTTCCTCGCTTCTTCATTTGATTCTTACTACTGTGCAGTCAGCTCACCTCTCTGGTAGTCGATCTGTTTGTCTGTCTGTTTGCTTGTTTCTCTGTCTATTTCTTTGTCTGTCTGTCTGTCTGTCTCTCTGTCTGTGTGTGTGTGTGTGTGTGTCTGTCTGTCTGTCTGTCTGTCTCTCTCTCTGACTCTCTCTCTCTCTCTCTCTCTCTCTCTCTCTCTCTCTTTCTCGCTCGCTCGTTCTCTCTCTCTCTCTCTCTCTCTCTCTCTCTCTCTCTCTCTCTCTCTCTCTCTCTCTCTCTCTCTCTCTCTCTCTCTTACGGTTGCGAGTCTGAGAGCCTAACCACTAGGCCACCGACGCACTCACACTCACACAAACACACACACACACACACACACACACACAGACACACACACACGCACACTCACACACACACACACACACACACACACACACACACACACACACACACACTCATTCACTCACTCACACGCACACATAGGTATTATTTATTTTAAAAGTTATCATTTGTGTGTGTGTGTGGTTTTTGGAGGAAGGAGGGAGGGGGGGATGTTGTTTTCCTTGGGGGGGGGGGGGGGGTGAGGGGGAGTTTATGGAATCGAGTTTAGAAGGAAACAGAACATATAATAATAAGAAGGCATTCAATAAAAATGTAACAGCTTTATAATTTGATCTAGATTACCATATCCTTCACCTCCCAACCCCCCCCCCCCCCCCCCCCCCCACCCGCTTTCGAAACTTGTTGGTTACCGTTACAGCCCATCTATCAGGGTCGGAGGACAGCACTTTTCCGCCTATTCTTTCTCAAGACTGGTCTTCCGTTTCCATTAATGATTATTGTGTCTCGACACCCTCTTCACGACACGGTGAAATCAGGCCCTCGTCATTTTGTGTGTTTGTTTTTTTTTGTGTATGTGTCTTTCTTGTTTTTTATCTGTTTGTTTTGTTTGGGGGTTTTTCCTTGGGTTGTTTTTGTTGGGGTTTTCTTTGGTGGGGGGGGGGTTGCTTTGTTTTTGCTTGGATTTTTTAATATTTTTTTTGGGGGGGGGGTAATTTTTGTATTCTTTTTTAATAGACAGTTATTCGTAAGCCTCTCATCCTGAAGCTTGTTCGTTTGTATTGCTTTTCATGAAAAGATACCCATCTGTTTTGATAAGAAATCGAGATATTTGCGATTGAAGGAGGTTGGGATCACGTGATAGGTACCTAAGAATTACACAGCTCTATCTGCTCAGTACCTAGTTTTGAGAAATTTAACGTCAGAGATTTTGAGTTTCACATCATGATAAGATTTTTCGAATGCATTTGTGAGGCAGCGTGGTAGAATCAGGCTCTCGTCAAAATAATCAAAGTGAAGAAACTGGCATTTTCCCGCAGGTTTGTGAATTTTTATTAAATTTTTGTTTTTTGGCTCAACACCTTCCATGTCCATCAAAAGAACTCATTTCTGAGTGGATTTTTCTGAAAAACGTTGATTAAAAGCACAGAAAATGTAAATTTTCAGTTACCACGGACTCTTAAGCTATGGAAATAACTAACCTTTGGCGACCATTTTCTCAATAATTTTACCTCTGAAAACAGGTGACCCCCACCTCCTGCTTTCGTAAATATCTCGACTTGTATTCAAGATAAATGGATATTTTTTTTCATCCTTATAAAGACAACTGAACAAGTTTTAAGATGATACCAATACCTCTACATGCTCAAAAATTCAGAGCCTGATTCCACCACGCTGCCTCACATTTATTTTGAATATCTTGACAATGACTTGTAATAATAATCTTACGATTTTGATAGAGCAGATGGGTCATTTTGTTTCTATTGTCGTGGTCTCAGTAACTCAAAACGGCCAGACATGTTGGATAGAATTTTGTAATTCTGAGTTAGTGTGATGCCAAAAGTAAAATAAGCAAGAAAATAAAATGCCAAAGTTTCATGACATTTAAAGCTTAGGTATCCTTGAAAACTGCATTTTTATGCAACGACCTTTCAGTAAAATCCTTACAGAATTGTGTTTTTAAATGCACATGAAAGGTACTGAGCAAAGGAATGGGGGGGTTTTTTGTGTTGTGTGTGTGTGTGTGTGTGTTTTATCTTTATTTATTTTTTGTTTGTTGTTATTGGGGGGTTTTTGTTTGTTTTTTAAAATCTTTTATTGAGAGGAAAAATGTCGGATTCTGCCATTTCATTATTTTGACGAGCGCCTTATTACGCCACGATGCCCCACATTTTTTCGGGGTACTTCCTCACTCTATTGATGACGTCATCGGCTCCACAGACGGTATAATGAAGCCGTACATACTTACCGGGCCCGGGTAATCTCTCTGTGGGGGCAGGATGAGGGAGATTTTCCGACTAAAATCGTGGAGGGTTGATTTACAATGTTCCTGTTTGGAGTAGTGGCTTAAAAGTCTTCTTCTCTCCCCCTTTCTCTCTCTCTCTCTCTCTCTCTCTCTCTTTGCTTCTCTCTCTTTCTTTCTCTCTTTCACTCTCTCTCTCTCTCTCTTTGCTTCTCTCTATCTCTCTCTTTCTCTCTCTCTCTTTGCTTGTCTCACTCTCGATCTATTTATCCATCTATCTATCTATCTGTCTATTTATCTATCTATCTATCTATATATCTATCTATCTATCTATCTATATCTCTCTCTTTTGGTCTTTTTGTCTTTCTCTCCTCCTTCACCCCGTCTCGCTTGCTTCCCCCCTCCCCCCTCTCTCTCTCTTTCTCTCTCTCTCTCTCTCTCTCTCTCTCTCTCTCTCTCTTTCTTTCACTCTCCCTCTCTCCTCCTCCTCCTCCTCCTCCGGACACAAACCCATCACAGGTCACACGAGAGACCACACACATTCATTTACTGAAGCTATTGTGTTTTTTTGAAGGGCTGACTACTGAAGTTTGATATGAACATAATATAGGATAATAGTATGGAAGGAGAACACTTTTGATAAAGCTAAACTGAACCGTTATTCCAAATCATTATCTATTAAATTTTTATTTCTCTTTGTTTGACCTTTCGCTCATGTCTGAATTCTGACTTTGTTCAACTTTGACTTTGACGTCTGTTTTTTTTTGTTTGACTTTGACTGTTTTTTTACTTTTGAATTATGTTTGAATGATGACTTTGTTTTTTGACTTTGTTTGACTTTGTCTTTGATTGTTTACTTTTTATTTGAATTTGATTTTTGGTTCACTTAGAACTTTTGTTTGACTTCTGACTTTTATTTGACAACTGACTTCGAATTTTGACTTCTTTTCTTTTTGACGTTTGCTTCACTTTTGATATTGTTTGATAATGATTGATTTGGACTTCGTTTTTGACATCTGGCTTGAGATGACATTTGACTTTACTCGACATTCGACTTTAGTTGACAATTGACTTTAGTTGATAATTGACTTTAGTTGACATTCAACTTTAGTTGACATTCAACTTTAGTTGACATTCGACTTTGCTTTTGTTGACAATTGACTTTAGTTGACATTCAACTTTAGTTGACATTCGACTTTGCTTTAGTAAGGTTTTAAGGAACTCGCAACTGCATAAGTTGAAATGAGCGCCGAGAGGAGGATGTCAGCAGAGAAGTCTAAACGGGGAATCAGGCTGTGTTATTCCGGCACAGTATGAGAATGACATTCGACTTAAGTGGACAATCAACTTTAGTTCTTGTTGTTGTTGTTTTTTTATCCCTTGCCCATTTATATGAGATTGACGCCATCTGATCAGTAGAAAAAATGTGCGTATGATAATGTCCAATAGTGTATAGTAGTCTACGGCCATACCACGTTGACCCTACCGGTTCTCGTCCAGTCACCAAAGTCAAGCAACGCCGGACATGGTTAGCACTTAGATGGGTGATATTCGACTTAAGTTGAAATTCGACTTTAGTTGACATTCGAATTTAGTTGACATTCGATTTTAGTTGACATTCGACTTTAGTAGACATTTGACCTTAGTTGACAATCGACTTTAGTTGACATTCGAGTTCAGTCGATATTTGACCTTTGCTCCCCAGCACATTCTGGACGAGATCTACGCCTACCTGGTCTTGTCGCCTCTGGAGTGGGTCATCTCGGTCATCTACGTCATCGTCTTCATCACCGGACTCGGGGGAAACTTCCTGGTCGGGTACGCCGTCTGGCGGAATAAGTATCTCCGGACCATCACCAACTTCTTCCTCACCAACCTGGCCGTGGCGGATTTCCTCACCATCCTCTTCTGTCTGCCTCCGAGCTTTGCGCAGACGATATGGGAGACCTGGTTCCTGGGGAACGTGCTGTGTAAGATTGTGAGCTACTTACAGGTAAGAGCTGACCTCATGTGGGTTTTTTGGTTTTTGTTGTTTGGTTGGGAGGGGGGGGGGGTTGATAGGGGTTTGCGCGATCATATGACCTTAGCAGTTGCGAGCGCCGTAAAACCCTATACTATACATGATAGGGGATTTTTGGGGGGTGTAGTTTTTCTTCGTAGTTTTTTGTTCTTGTTTTTTGTTTTGTTTTGTTTTGTTGAGGGTGTGAGGGTGTGGTGGCGGAGCGGTTAGTACGCTCGTCTCTTAAGCGGAAAGTCCGGGTTCGGCCTCGGTTCGGACACGGATTTTTTTTTTTATGCGCCCCCTCCAGCCCACCTAGCAGTGATGGGTACCTGACTTCGAAAGGGGGAAGTAAATCGGATTTCCGAATCGGATGCTGGAACAACTTTTCAACTTTTTTTTGTTTTTATGGGTTGTTGTTGTTGTTGTTGTTGTTGTTGTTGTTGTTGTTGTTGTCGTTGTTGTTGTCGTTGTTGTTATTTTTGTTGTGTTTGACGTATCGCTACCTCAAAATTACAACGTTCTATCCGACATTTTTGGCTCTTTTGAGTGACTTAGACAGTGACGTCAGAAACCAAATGTTCTATCTGTTCTATCAAAATCGTAAGATTATTCGGAGTCGTTAGCATGGTATTCAAAGAATTGCATTCGAAAAAGCTCGAAATGATATGAAAGTCAATATCTTTGACGTCAAATTTCTCAAGACTAGATACTGACCAGATAGAACTTTCTAATTCTGAAGTAGCGGTATGTATGTGTGGGGGGGGGGGA